TTCACCTCTCACATTCTTTCTAGAGATAATCTCTGGCTTTTTAACACCTTTAATGACAGCCCAGTTACTTCAGTGCTCTCAGTGATAATAACAAAAAAACTTATTCTTATTTTTCCTCTTTAGTAACCCTGCTCTCCTTTGCTCATCCTGCTCTGTGCTCCATGAGCCTGCTTTTACATCAAAGATTGGTGTTGGCCTTTTGATTTATGTTTAGATTTGATCAGTGTGATGTAATGAAGGAGACTGGTGACATTGCCAGATGAAGACAAGAATTTATAACACTGCTCCCAGTGTGGCTAGATTAGTGAGAGGGTCATATGATCTTTGTCAAAATCAAGGCTCTTGTCTGAGTCCTTTGTAAGCAGATATAATAGGGTCTCTGGAAATGAGTAATCTACAATAAACAGAAGCTCATTTTCTTGCAATTCCATAGGATTGCTGAGATAGTTCAGAGAGTGAAGACACCAAGTGTGATAACAGAAGTTTTATTTCTGAGACACATGTGGTAGATGGATAAATCTGATTACTGTTTGTTGAGTTCTGACTTCTACAATGTGTCATGCCACACTTGTTTGAGGCTACTCATGTACACACACACACACACACACACACACACACACACACACACACACACAAGATAAATTTTTGGGCAAAGAAGGCCATATTTGCTCTTTCATATAGATGTTAATCTACCCATGATGGAAGAACTCACATAGTCTCATTATTTCCCCCAAATCCTACCTATTTATACTAATGTAATGACAATAATATTTTTATTCAAGTTTAGAGGGGGCAAACCTTTAAACCATCTCCCCATAACTACCTTATACTCAATATTTATTTCAGATGCAGAGTAAGCAAGCTTTCACCTGTTGTTAGTACAGGCAACTACACCATTCTTGGTTAGCTTTCCTAAACTCAGCCAATACTTCTTAAAATATCTTGTCATTACAGTCTTAATTACTCAGTTTAAGTGTGCCATCTGCTGTGTACTGGGATCTTTTTCTAGGAAATACTGAGATGGAATTAGGAATGCAAAGCTCAAAGGAAGAGATAACAAAGAGGATTGGAGCATGCTAAGAGCATACGACTTTCTGATCCTCATCGTATCTGACACTTGTAACATGAGTGTTGAGGAAATTTCCCCATTCAGGTCCAGTTTCATTTCTCCATGTCTTGTGATCAAACTGTGTGGCATCTTACCAACATAATCTTCAAACTAATTTCTGTTGCTCAACCAAAAGCAATGGCAATGTCCTGTATTGTTTGGGAGCCTCTTTATCTTTTTTTATTCCTATTGTTTTCCTTTCTGTTTGTTTCCCTTCAAACAAGGAGTTTATGGTTCTTGATATCCTGACAATATTTTCTATCATCTTTCTATCATCGCAGAACTTTAATGTTCTTAAATTCCCCATTATGCATTAAGACTCCGCAATTCTTACCCAGTTATTAGGATCATGACATGTGACCTCATATAATCATTATAAAACCGACACTGGATGACAAATTGCAGTTTCTTTTATCTAGATATTACTTGATGATTTTTTTTCTCACAAGGGCATTGAGTACTTCCTTTAATAAGAAGAATGTTTTTCAGCCTAGGTACAATTGGCCAAATAGATTTCTTCAGCTCCTCCAATGTAATTATTTCCTGCCACTAACTAAGCAAAGTGGCACATCTGTTGACTAGATGAGAAAGCCAGAATTAGACTGCTTTCCAAAAGCCAGCACAGTGGTTCCCTCCTGGCACTCATTTTATGTGCCTAAAGAAAGCCGTCTGCAGGGGAACGGAAATCTGTGAACACACCACGGGGATTCCCAATTGAATACTGTCACGTTCTTTCTAGCCATTTTTGAGGAGGCAGAGACTGTGAGAAAGTGCTGCTGTTATTTTCAACACCCTCAGTGGCATGAAGCATAGCTGTGTCTCTGGATCTGACATTATACAAGCTACATTTAACTTTTCATAGATTCAATGGATTGGCTCACCTAGTTAATTGTTTTAAATGGGCATCATTTTCCTGTTTGTAGCCCACTAATTAAAACTAAGAAATAAAGTTTAAAGTGACCTGTGACCTGAGATGCTTGCAGTGTCTGTTCATCATGGCTACCCTAGTCATTCCATTCGGTCTCAAATTGTACATTCACACACAGTACCACCCATATATTTGTTGGAATGCAATGTTTACAACCAAATATTTAACTTATATCATACTATTTGTCTCCTCATAGTAGAATTAATTTTGATATAGTTGTGTTGGGCCTTATAAGTTATTAGACATTAAAATTGATTAGGTATCATTTTGGCAATTTGTCACACTGACAAATTTTCAGTTCATGATTAACTAAGGATAAGAGGGGAAGAAAAGGAGGAAGACTAAAGATCCACTTTGAAGCAATTTCAAAGGGAATTACAGGATATGATATAGATTTTTTCTTTTCTTTTTTTAAATACAGGATTAATGAGGTTTTCAAGGATTCTGGGCTCGTCTTTCATTGTTTGTTGCAGTGTTTAGTATAATAAACATTACACTTATTTAAAGAAAAAACAGGCCTTATGCTACTTTCTCTATGGAACATGTCTCTGTTCTAATAATATTTTATTCATAGAACATGAAATGGCTTGAATTTTTTCTGTTGTTTGTTATTTTCATATCCCTGCCTAATTTACTGAACTTTACCAAGCTCAGAGCTTCCATTCCAACATTTACCTCCACAATAAAAGAAACTCTTCAACACACATATGACATATCACCAGGTAGGAAGAACAGATAAAAGGGCTTACCAGGGCACTTAGGCACATTTATTCTAACAGAACATTCCAGTATGTCTCAATGTACATCTTCTTATATTTCCTTCTAATCATTCATTCCAGGAACTTGATAACACAGTTTAAATGTACATACATTCACTGGAGTTCTGTTGCCAAGGATGTGGAGGAGGACAGATACTGAAAGGACCAGAGATTCAGGATGCAGACTGTGCTATGCCCCCATGATGCCAATCACTGCATGCCAATTCTCTCAGTTGATGAAAGGTCAAAGCCACTATCAGTGCCTGTCTCGCAGAGCTGAAAGAGGAAGAGTGAATTATGTAACACACAATGTGTGTTGGAAAGTCTCTGTGACAGCTGATGGATTTTAAGCATCAGCATTATTTCCATCTTCACCATATTTGGCTCCATGTTTGCCATGTCTCCATTGACTACAATGTGGAGTAACAGGGATTCAACAAACTCTTTTAGAATGAATTCCTGAATTCTCATCATTACAAGAGATTTAGGGCTTATAAAGACCAGAAACTGATCTGCCCATTTCATCTGTGATTTTTTTTTAAATAATTGATCAACACATATTAATTGTACATATGTGTGATGGTCTTGGTATGTCTTTACATTTAACTCTTTAATAAAGGGGAATTACTAGCTTGTGAAAGCAACAAGAAACCTTGTGATTCAGACCCAGATAGGAATATGTATCTAACTATTTTTGTAATGATTTAGTTATAACTATTTTTACCCCATCCTTCAACCACTGCACTCAACATTTAAAACCCTGTGAAAGAGCATGCAACGGGGCAAATATGACTGAATTATCTGTCTTCTTCTGGATAAGGAGGACAGAGTGCATCATTTTACACAACTTCATGGGGCTGGATAGCATAAGGAGTCAGGGTGAAATCAGTGCAGATGACAAAATCAGTAGAAGAAAACAGATATAGAGACACAGGTATATCCACTATGTGTGCCCTGACTGATTTCAAATAGCTTGGCCATTTGTTAACACAACTGGATTCCTATGTTTCTTATCAATTAACAAGCTACTGTCTTGCAAAAGAGATACCAAAAATAAAACAATGAACTTTTGTTTTTTGTATGTTTATTTGCTTTTTCTCGGTCATGCTATAGGTAATATGACTTTAACTAGCTGTACCTGTTTCCATGAACCTTATAATATGCAATTTTAGAGACAAAAAGATGTTCTTTCCAAGATTCAGTTTTAATAAAGATATCAATGCCAGCCTGGTTGAGTACTGAGCAATTGATTACAGTCTCTGATAAAACATTGAAACCAGATGGAGTTCACTTTTTGTCTTTATGAATTTGCCAATGAATCCAAGCCTGTGGCAACATGAGGATTTATTTTAAAACGTGATTCACACTAGAGTCATCTACTCTCATTAAGGAAGTATTGTAGACATTTGGAATTACTTTGACTTGGCACATTTATTGAAAGTTTTAAAGATTATAAAACTAAAAGTATTCTGTAAATTAATTGCTATATAGCAGTCATATAGGACCCCCAATTTAACTTTCATCATGCTAGATATAAATTTTAGTGCTAAATACCATTAAAGAACACCATTAGAAATCTAACACATTAGCAAATTGCATATTGCTTCCAATCCCTTTAATAATCTGGGTTTAGATTTCCTTTTATGTACTGATTAGTTTTAAATGTGATGGGTTCAAATCTAAAAATGATGTTTTTGTCTATCCTTGGTATGTGGACTTTATAAAACCAAACACAAATAAATTTACTTTGGTCAGCATACTTTTATAAGCAAAATGTTCTTCACATTTTGTGCTCTTAGTTACATTTATTTATGTGATTTGGTATTAGAGAAAGAACATCGAATGCCTTTAAAGAATGAAGAGGCAATTAAAGACCGAAAACACTGGAAATAAAATAAATCCATAATGTATTAGTTAGGACAGATAATCTTTACAGTTTTATGCCTATCATTTTATCTTCAGCATTTTACTTTGCTTCACATTGCTAATCTTTTGATCTTCATGTTTTTCTTTTTACAGTATTTTAACACATTGTTGAAAACTACAAACATCCACAGAAGTTTCATGTGGTCAAACTGAATATGCTGAGAGCCTGAGCTATTTCATTATGAAACACACGGTGTAGAATCTTTGAAGCATAGAGCTCTGCAAAACACTTGGATAAAGAATCCCTCCTCTGGTGTATAAGGCACTCCTCACCTAAACCATGACAAACCAGGAGAAATGGGCCCACCTCAGCCCCTCAGAATTTTCCCAACTTCAGAAATATGCTGAATGTAAGTATTCATATTGAAAATATGATCTAATTTGACATTTTTGTTAATCAAGGTATGATACATTTCAAGAATAGATCTCAGATCCTGTTTGTCTTGTGGACAGATGCAGGGTATCTTTTTTATTCACTAGAAGGTCAACTTAAAACTGCCTTTTAACATAAAATAAAAAAAGGAAAGAAATCAAATCAAAGTTAAACTGGGACAGCAGATACAAAACTAACCCTGGAAAACACTACTAGTGTTTAGAAATAAAGTGAGGACTCCAAAAGGGAAGGGTTATTGTGTTTATTGGAGATGTTGTTTCCCTTTCCTTTCTTGTGAACCTATCCATAAGGACCAAGAGAAGGGATCTTGGATACACTGTGTTTCACAGTAGTAACTAATCATAATGACAAGTTCCAAAGAAAGACAAGCAAATGTGTTTAATCAGTTCTTCTTCAAATTACAGACCATGATAGATCACTGCATAGAAAGGTAGTTCAGGATAAGTTTCATTATTCATGTACATTAAGAGGTTATGCATAAGAATTTTATGAAATAACAAATTGATAGTTAATTGAGAATTCTGTAAAAAAAACTAGCTGAGATTTTAGGATCATTAAATTTGCTGTTCATTCTCAAATCATCAAGATAACAAGGGAAATGGCATTTATTCCTCCAGGAGTTTCCCAGGTAATTAAGAAGCAAAGTGTATCATGATTACAATGATTTCTTACATAATACATTGCCATTATGAAAAGCAACTGAAAATATATTCTTTAATTCTTTATGTGAAGATTTCAAGTCATACACTTCTCTCAACATTCAGCACATGCCTTTAGCCTGTTAGATGTTTGGAGATTAGGTTTTCATGTGACAATTTAACATTAGGAATCAACATTCATCCACAGTCTATCTGAGCAGTAGCAAATTGGACTACTTTCCTTAGCATTTATTTTTTTAATTTTTCAATAACAGATTGTTATTTTAAATGCAGTAGGTTTTTAATAAATTCTTGATCATACTTAACATGCTAAGAGTACCTGTCAAATATTAATAAGTCAAATATTAAATAAGTATTTTCTATATTTTGAGGGACTGTAGAAGACTTAAATGATCTCCTGAAACCCTTTCCATAGCAAAATTAAATCAAAAGTGAACCCAGAGAACATCACAAATATCATCTCGTTTCTTACCTGATTGCAGATACTCTGCACATTGCTATAGTAGACCCTGTAACTATGATGCCTCTGTAGACTTCTTGGCTATTTTCAAAAGAAACAAAAGATGCATAGGATGAAACTGGGGCAGCATTCGCTGTAAGGCAGCCAGCACACTGAAGGTGTGTGTTGAAATCCTAATCCTATACCTGACATTAGGTAATTTTCATAACATCTCCCTACATTATTTTTGTACTTGATAACAATGAAATGATTAAAATAATAGAATTATTCATTGTTGTAAGTATCAAACTGAATAAGTTAGATTACAGAAGTAAGCAGGATGCCTGAAAAAATTGTTACTGCAAGCACCATGTACAATCATTGTATTAACATAGAGTAAAAATGTTGTGTTGTGTAACTGGATTTCTCTTATGAGACTAGAGCCTGTTCACAAGGTAGAAGCCTCCAGTGTGATTGGCTGCCATAGCTTTGTACTGTCCTGGCACATGCTGAAGGCAGCAAATGTGAAGCCTGCTGTGGCTGTCTGTAGCATGCTGTGACCAGGCTCCTGTTTAGAGTTGCAGGCTGAGTCACTCCATGGGCAGCATTTTCATTGAGATGTGGGAGGGGGATCGAATTTCTGTCTCCATACTTTATATAAAGTCATCTGAACTGTTGTTACAAGATAGACTGCTCTCACTCCAACTGTGTAGAGAATCGAGCTTAGCTCATTATTGTTCAGTGTATGTTTCCTGCTGTGGTTTCAGGGCACAGCTAAGGGTTAAAAGACTCCAAGTTTTGTCATGAGTAGGAATGTCTTCTGACTACATGAGATGCAATGTTTTCAAATGGTTCATTATCTGCATGCTGTCATTTTGGATTAGGTTTTTTGAATGCAGTGTATATAACGTGTGTTCTATTGCATGTAAGTTATTTTTGAAAGCTACTGTGTTATGGGAGGAACATTTCTAAACATTCATAAATTTCATTCTGTTTATAGCAGCTGACAGTGTAGACCCAGGCAAAATTATGGTGAATGGAAGACTGAGGTGCCTAATATTCTGATTCCACTGCAGAGAGGCACTAAGATAGATTCCATGGGAAAAACTGCCAGCTTTACAAGCAAATCTCTCTCTTGTTTTTTAACTTTTATTTTGAGAAAAGGTCCCATGTATCCCGGGCTGCCCTCAAATTCCAGATATAGCCAATAATAAAATTGAACTTCTGACCCTCTGCCCTCTGCCTCCTGAATGTTGAGTTTACAGAGCTGTGCTACCATGACCACTTTAAGATATGATTAGGATAGAATCCAAAGATTCCTGTAGAGAAGGCAAACACTCTACCAGCTAAAGTTAATACCCAGCCCCCCAAACTAATAGTGGGTATGATTAACTCCATCTTGTCTATGGCTTTTTAGTGCTATCATAACCAAGTGCAATGCATTCATATCTTTTTGAATACAAAGGCAAAATAAGCACAGTCACGACATAAAATTGTGGGAAAGATTTATTACCTAATGAAGCCAAGGTCAACTTCTGAGCCATTTCCTCAAAGGGAATATGGGGATTTTTATTGAAGGAACCTACATGTATAGGTTGATCCATTCCTAAGCATGCTCAATTGAAGACCATGGAGATTGAAGTGATGGACAGGGATGCTTCTGGGCATAGTCAACTTGTACCATAAAGTTTTAGATGACAACAAAAGAAAGGACACTTTGAAGGTCCATTAACACAAGAATATGCCTCTAAAGACGCCTGACTCACTTACTGTCTAAGGGCATAACCTTGGGAATTGTGCAAGAAATTTGATGCTTTCACAAACATTTGAACAAACATGTTAATGAATAAAATCCTTATTTTGGCTCAGTTTCAATGTAAAAATATAACAGCCAGGAAGGTGGTAGGAGAAAAAGAGAAAGAAAAAGAAGTAAATAGATGATAGAAGATAGATGGAAAATAGATAGGAGACAGAGAAAGATATACAGACAGATTGGACCAAGTGACTGCTAACATAGCAGGCACTCTCATTTCCCTCCTTTATTCTCTTGTGAATAAAAGTTCACCTGATTTTCAACATAATCACGCTTACAAAATTAAACATCACAGAATGTAACATAAAGTATAAGATTTTCATCTTTTTCAATTAAAAACATAGACTTTCACTTCAAATTTTTGTGGGGCCTAATAAAACATTGAGCAACATACATAATTGAAATTTATTGCCCTACTATAAACAATTTATAAACATTACCTCACCAAAGCTACAATAATACTGAGTGCAAAGTAAAGTAAAGTATCTTCTCTGAGGATTAACTCTTTCTGGTAAAGTAGCTGGTTTGGATCCACAGCACGGTGAATGACAAAGTCAAAACACTTGTAGTTTGCCTATATTTCTTATAAATTATGTTTCAAAAATAGACCAATCTAAAATTCATTACCCCATAGTTATCATCTACAGTTTCTTTCTTTTTATTTTGCATGCAAGACAGGGAAAGAAAGTGCAAAAATGTGCAACCCCTAACTAGAGGGCTGCCTCCAACATTGCCGGAATCTCAGGTTAACTTTTATCACTTGGCCAGAAGCATATTAAAGGCCAATCCTGTGGAAAGTTAAAGAGACCTTCTGTCCCAAATCTCCCTTCTGAATGGCTCCAGGTTTGAGTGGTTTAGTACATAGGGAGTTAGAGTGACATAGGAACCCCCATGGTGAGTGGGGCAATTTGAGTGCTGTCTTCTCTTCCTAAAACATGACCCAGGTCTTGTCTTCTTGGGGACAGGATTTGCATTTTCTTTTCAGGTAAACACTTTACTTTTCTGCAACTCACTTCTTATTTCATGAACCTGAGTGGTCTTGGATGACCCACTGAGAATGTATTTTGAAAAGGGTCCATTTTTACTAGCAAATTGCTGGTTCCCATTTCTCACACTCCATTTTCACTGGGAGCTGGAACAGCACTTCGGTGCTATTTACTGCAGGATGATTGGAATTAAGAGGGAACCAGGGTTTTAATTTATGAGAAATCTTGACATGATTAGTTAAACATAAGTCAAGGGAGATGCTGAAAAGGGGCCAGAAGTGTCTTTCCCCATTGGAGCATAACAATGTTCTTCCTAAGACTAGTTAATGGAAAGCAAAGGGAGAGCTTCAATTCTGTAGAAGGAACTAGAGAATGGTGGAGAGACAAGCAAGGTGGTGGGAGAAGATAATAGTTTGCAATGAATCCTTTTTATACCAACCTGGACAGGGGTCCCCATACAAGTGCACTGGGATGGGTCATTTATGAGTCTCGGTGTTGCTCTGTCTAATGAAGATGCAGACTTCAATGCTCTACTAACATTTGTTTGTTCTCTCACATTTTCTTTCCGGAGCATCCAAGGATTGCTGTATGGCAATTCTTCATTGGCTGTGAGGGACTCAAACATAAATGTGAACAGAGTTATTTACATATATATATATATATATATATATATATATATATATATATATATCAGGAAAGGAAATGAAGAAGAGGAAAATCTTGTAGCACTCTAATAAAGACATTTGTTCTCATTTTAAGAGATTAATTCCTCTCCTTAAGAAATTCCTCTTCTCACACGAAAACCTAATTGTTCCCTTTCGATATGTTTTGTGCTTTGTCATACAAGATGATGTGGAAGAATAGAAAAGAACCCTGACAGTGTATATGTGCTTGAGAAGTCATATGCTCGTGTGTGTCTATGCATTTCTGTTTATGAGTACATGTGTGTATGTGTGTTTATATATACATGTGTATGCATGTGCCAGTGTGTGTGCATGCACTCTGGATGTGGTGTACATTCAATTCATTGTTAAACAAATTAGATCACATGCTAGTCCT